TCTAGTTGTAGAATTTCCACTCAGCCAGCCTTCCTGTGGTTCTGGATGATGCCCGTTTTGTCTTTTAGTTATATTTTTGAATTTGTTGTGGGAGGCAACAATTTCTGGTGTTTACCTATGCCGCTATCTTGGTTTCTCTCTGATTGACTTTCTTTATAGATCGGTTGCAATCCACTATACTTGTAGGTTTTGTGATGTTATTTACGTGTAGAGGCGTCGGGAATGGTTGATATCATAAGTACTGGCCGTTCATCTTTCTACATGAGGAGAATAATGGAACCTCTCCACGAAATGTCACCTCTCTCTGAAGGCTCTGACTTTTCTTATAGTAGATCTGGCAACCTACGCATGATTCTTCCTGATTGTTCCACAGACCACTGTTCTGTTCTTCAATAATAGTTTAGCTGCAGATGCACTGTTGTAATAATTATGGTGAATATGAGGCCAAGAACCAAGAAAAGGCCGTTAAGACAGATAATATCTGTTATAACTTTTTGCCTTCACTCGCATGTATCTTGAAATTGCAAATATAGCCACTCTTTCACAAAGCATCCTTACTAAAATTCCTATTTTAGTATTTTTGCCTGATTATATATCTTGAATCTGATGCATCCTCTCCATGGAGTCACTGCTCCGAGTCGTAACTGCTGTTTTATACATATAAAGATTTAAATTTTGAGATAATGTGATCCAACAGAGGTCTGAGTTTGTAAAGATGGTCTGTGTTACATGTTTCTTGTGAATTATTGTTCAGATGAAAGAATATAAGTATTTGCTCGAACCTCTTTGCAGTCAAAGTTTTTGAAAATAAAGTATTGGTTGACTAGTAACCTTTCCATTCTGGTTTCTTCGTTAGTCCCATCAATATAATTAAACCAAGAAAAGCCTTTATATCCAGATAAGTTACGTCCATCCATAATGAAGTTTTAGCAGAAGTTTTGTGGTATTTTTCCATTTGGTGCTGGTATAAATTGGTTTAAGAATAAGAATTTTAAAAACCTTATAAAAAATAAATTGGTTACTTCACTTATACTTTGGGAGTCTTCAAATTAAACAGTTATGCCTGAAGTATTTGTATAATCCTCCAAGGCTGGTAAAATGTCTTTTTTCTGCCTTTCTTCTTCAGAATCACTTTCACTGTCAGATACTGTCACATTTCTCTTTTGCCTTCATGATGGTCTAATGCAGGGGTGGGCAAACTTTTTGACTCGAGGGCCACAATGGGTTCTTAAACTGGACCGGAGGGCCGAACAAAAGCATGGATAAAGTGTTTGTGTGAACTAATATAAATTCAAAGTAAACATCATTACATAAAAGGGTACGGTCTTTTTTTTTTTAGTTTTATTCATTTCAAACGGGCCGGATCCGGCTCGTGGGCTGTAGTTTGCCCACGGCTGGTCTAATGTCAGACCCATCACTATCTTCTGACAAAGTACTATCTTCCAGCTGACTACCAAAATCACTCTGCACATATCTGCTCACGTTCTTCTCTGCCACAATTGTGTATTTGTAAACTTTTTGCCATAAGAAAAGATGGATGGAAAGAATTAGATGTATTGCTCATCATATCTCTGGAAATACTGACTGATGAGTTGAGAAAAAGACACACATAATGAAAAGTGGTGACGAATAAAGTAAACGCCGAGCAGTAAAGTGGCTCATATCTGAGCCTAAATCAAGATAACTAAGAAAACAGTCTACAGTGCTCTTTTTAAAACTCTATATTGCTTTCAGACCTTAAAATTACCTAAATTACTGTAAGTGGAAACATGGGCTAAATCGTGATGGTCAGCGAGGTGTTAGGATCATGGAGACCATTTGAGTTTTAGGACTTATATTTTGAATTGCCCTAAATGGATGGAGTCAAAGTTAAATGTTTTAAATTGCTGTCTGAAAATGTAATCTCATTTCCAACTCTGCCAAAAGTCTGTCTCTCAGTTAGACAGACCCTGGAATTGCCCAGTCAGAGGTGCTGTTTGCACTTTCAGTGAGGACAGTGGATGCACCAAACAGGAGATGAGTATTTCAATCTTTAATCAGACCTCTTATTCTGGTCTATCACATCAGTAAAGAAAAAAAAAATTGCCAGTGACTGTAGTGGAACAGGTACTCACATACTGGTGGTGTGATTGTAAACTGGTATAACCTTTTCACATTGTGACTTTGAATATAAAAATATAAACACACACATATATTTTATATATTTTTTTATTGATTTCAGAGAGGAAGGGAGAGGGAGAGAGAGAGAAACATCAATGATGAGAAGAGAATCATTGATTGGCTGCCTCCTGCACACCATGCCCTCTATTAGGGATCGAGCCAGCAACCCGGGACTCTTCAGTCCACAGGCTGATGCTCTATCCACTGAGCCAAATCAGCTAGGGCCACACACATATTTTAAAGCAGAGCCTTTCATTATAATGTTTACACCTCTTAACTCAGTTGCGAATCTATACCAAGAAATTAACATGAATGACAAATGTTTTAAACCCAAAGATATCTTCTATAGTTTATAATTTCCAACTGCAGAAAGTGTGCACTAAGTATATTTTGAGATATCAATATTGTTAATGACAAATATTTAGTAATTTGAATAGAATCATAATGTTATAAACAGAGGAATCATTGGAAATGAAAGATCTTTTTTTGTTTGTAATTTTCAAATTTCTACAATAAACACACTATTAAATAGGACATAGGTATATACACAATATTAACAATTATGTTTAAAAATGTGCCCTAACCGGTTTGGCTCAGTGGTTACAGCGTTGGCCTGTGGACTGAAGGGTCCCAGGTTTGATTCCGGTCAAGGGCATGTACCTTGGTTGCGGGCACATCCCAGTGGGGAGTGTGCAGGAGGCAGCTGATCTATGTTTCTCTCTCATCGATGTTTCTAACTCTCTGTCCCTCTCCCTTCCTCTCTGTAAAAAATCAATAAAATATATCTAAAAATAAATAAATAAAAATGGTCAAAAAATAAGCATAATGTTAACAATTATATCTCTAGGTGGTAGGATACGGGCATGTTTCCCTTTCCTTTTAAATATTCTTCTGTATCCTGCACTCCTTTTGTGCATACATTATAATACTGTTATAACTACAAAAAAATATAACCTTCAAATAATCGCAACACAAAACACAGCTACTCCTGAAACTTACTTGGCAGCCTGGACATCTGTGCTGGAAAGGTTTCCTTGAGCAATTGCTTTGACTTGGTTGTAGGCTGCCTTGATAACCTAGGACAGACAATGAAAACCTGGTCAACTCCAATCAGTGCCAGCTTCTATAGCAATCAAATGCTCCTCTAAGGCAAAAACACAGGTGGAGGTTAGCTGCAGAGAAAGAGCAGAGTGTCCATTTGGGGTTCTTAAGTCACTATGTGTCCTTTATCTTTCCAACGTTCCATCAAGCAGCTGTCTGTACAACCTATAGTATCTGAATAGCAAAACTTACAAAAGTGGCAGAGGACAGCAGTAGGGTTTAGGAAAAGCACACACATTGTGTGTATCATCACCTATAGAGAATAAGCCCCTCGGGCGTCATGTAGTTAATGCTGCTATCTTAGTATTCACTAAGAAATAGAATCCATTCAGCCAGTTTACAGCTTGTCAACACTTGGGAGCTGGAGTCAGAAGAATCAAGTTCCAGTGATGTGGGTGGGCACTTGATGTGGGTGGGTATTTGTTGAATGAGTCAATTAATAAACCTGGCCCACGCTTCTCTCCACCCCAACCTTGGCACTATTCTGGGTCTGCTACTTAATGTCTCCCCTAATCACCTAAATTCTAGGACCTTCTATTTCAGCTGCCCATGTCCATAGCCGCACCTGAGACTTGGCCATCACCTACTAAATTCTCAATCGAAGACCCCTGGCCTATGTCTTCAAACATGCTGTCCTATTTTTCCACTTTGTCAAGATCTCTAGTTCCTTGGTTTATCTCAATCTGTGAGGTCCCTCTGGCTTCACTTCCCTGTCTAACTTAGATCTTAGAATTATTTCCTCAATCACTCTTGCCAGAGTCCCCAACTCCCTTGCCATCTCCTCATACTTTTAACCTGCCTACTTTTCAGGTCTTCAACCTGGGATCACCCTGCTACCTGCCTCCTCGATTTCTCCTTTAGGCTAGTGCATACTATTGAAGAAAAACTGTGAACCAGACCTTGTCTGTACTGTGAATTTGTGGTCACTCATCTCAAGGAGACATTTACACTGCTGCTAATTGCCGTTCTGTGTGTCTCTAGCTATTCATCTGTCCCAAATTACTTTCTTTAAACTCTCCTCCCTTCTCTTAATCTCAAACACGCTTACCTTCCTACCTCCCAGGGATTACTGCCTCATCTCCTGACATCCTCTTCTTCCAAAATCAGCCTTTGAGTCCAAGGTTAAAATGTCCACTTGTATTCTGGATCCTGCTTGCTCTTGCTTTTTCAGATAGGGTCCATTTAGAGTTTCCTATCTCCAATGTCTGGTCCAATCTTTCTTTCCTGTCCAACTTCTACAACTCATCTCCCTGCAAACCCAAGCCCCACATGCCTATACAAACCTTGCATTTCTTTCTTCTCATTAATTCCTTGGTAATATAAATGATCATTTACTTTCAACATTCTGGGGAAAACTGATATTACCAATGATGTCCTAGTCTGGTAAAACGGTAAGACCTCTCTGTGGTAACTAAAGGGATGGTATTCATTTTTCTTTCCTGGCCTCCAAATGTACCAGTTTCTCTTCTTTTTCTTCCTGTTTTCCTGGCCATTTTCCTAAGTCATTTGATGGTTTGAAACCACCTTAAAGCACAGAGCACCTTAAAGTATTGAGCATAAGGAGCTTCAGTTTTCTCTCATGGTTTTTCACACAAAACCCTGATTTCAACACAATCTGTATATTGAGGACTCCCAAATACACACATTGCCCTTCCCTGTGTCACCTGAGCTCTCAATTTAGATGTCCCAGAGACAACTCAAAGCCACTTCTCCCAACAGACCCAGAACGCCACCGAAGTGCTTCCGTCCTCTTTCCTGGAAGCACCGGTGTACGTGTTTCTGTCTCCTCCACAACAGATGCTTTAATGATGTTACAGAGCTCTGGTCAGTCATGGCATTCAAACACTCCACATTTTAACTTAAAAGTTTGTGAGAGTTGATGAGTTTGCAACTTACATCTCCAGCAGCTGCAGCCTGCGAGATAGTATAAATCCCAAAGAGTCCAGAATCCGAGTAACTGGCATTAAAAGCAGAAACCTGAAATAAAATGAAACTCGACTGTACATCATTCTAACAGGTAGAACAGTGCACAACTTCCTTAAGGTTGTCTAAACAAAAACTTGTACCTTCACAATATAAGTAAATAGACCAGCATTTCATTTAACCAGTCTGTCAAGGACCAATGCACTACCTCTTTCAAAATGATCATTTAAAATATATATATGTATTTTATTGATTTCAGAGAGGAAGGGAGAGGGAGATAAAAATATCAATGATGAGAATCAATGATTGGCTGGCTCCTGCACGCCCCACAATGGGGATTTGAACCCGCAATCCGCCATATGCCCTGACCAGGAATCGAACCATGATCTCCTGGTTCATATGTCGATGCTCAGCCACTGACCCATGCTGGCCGGGGAAGAATAATAATGGTTTTAACTTTCCTGTTTTAAATCTTTCTAAAACAGGTTGATTACTCTTATTTTTACTGAGTATTTTCTAACCTATTTTGACTATGATTCAAGATTAGCACAAACATGAATTTGTGAACATCATTATCATAGACACAGTGGCTGAGTGGTATGGATTGTGGGTTTTGGCACTAGACAAATGTGACTTCTTCCCTCTGTTGTTGCTGACTTCTTTCACCAATTCGCTTTCACTTCAGAGACTAAAGTCAAAGGGTTAGGGAAAACTTTCTGCTTGGTGGCTGTTATTCATGTGTCCAAGGCAGCAAAAAGCGTGGCCTTGGACAACAGCGTTCCTGCTGTCTGAACAGTGTAAGTTCCTTTAGGTGACTTGATTGCCTAACACAGGGTTTCCCAGTGTTCCTGTGGGCCATTTGCCCTAAAGGTCACCTGAGCTGTTATGAAGAACACAGACTTCTAGGTTCCTGCCACAGATTACTCACTCAGACCCCTATAGGCACAGTCTAGGGCCCACATTTTTAACGAATGTTCCAGGTGATTCTCACGTACTTTATAGTGTGAGACCCACTGGTGCAGCCCCTATAAAGCTCAGAGAGAACATAAGAAAAACTGCGCTCAACTACTTGAATTATAATTCTGAGATGATCCTACTCACACGTCAAGTTTCTGGCCAAATGTGCAAGTAGGAATTTCTATTAAATTGTCATTGGCCCTAGCCAGTTTTTCTCAATGGTTAGAGTGTTGGCCCTCTGATTGAGGGTCCTGGGTTCGATTCCGGTCAAGGGCATGTACCTTAGTTGCAGGTTCAATCCCCGACCCTGGTTGGGGCAAGTACAGGAGGAAACTATTGGATGTGTCTCGCTCACATAGATGTTTCTCTCCCTCCTTCCACTCTCTAAAAATCAATGGAAAAAATATCCTCAGGTGAGGATTAACAAAAATAAATAAATAAATAATCATTGGACTAGGATTAAACTCCAGCCACCCCAAAGCATCATTAACATACAATGGTGAAGAAAGAACAGAGTAGCCCTAGCTGGTTTGGCTCAGTGGAGAGAGCGTTGGCCTGCGGACTGAAAGGTCCCAGGGTTCAATTCTGGTCAAGGACACATGCCCAGGCTGCAGGCTTAATCCCCAGCAGGGGGCATGCAGGAGACAGCAGATCAATGATTTGCTCTCATCATTGATGTTTCTATCCCTGTCCCTTTCTCTCTCTCTAAAAACCAATTAAAATATAAAAAAATAACAACAGAGTAGAACATGAACCAGGAGGAAGAAAATCTGGAGGAAAATTTAAAAAGCAGCAGCTGAATTTAGAAATCATTTAAGGTAATGGTTTTCAAATTGTGCTCCGGGGAACTCTAAGGCTCTGTACAGAAGATTCCAAGGGTTTCATTGTCAAGTAACTTTCAAATCTTCTTTAAAAGAAAAATACTTTTGTGTAGGCATTGTAGTTGGGAAACCATATTGGATAAAAAGGCTCCTCTGGCCCAGCCGGTGTAGCTCAGTGGTTGAGCACTCAAGTCACAGGTTCAATTCCCGGTCAGTGGTCAGGGCACATGCTGGGGATTGCATGCTTGATCCCCAAAAGGGGGTGTGTAGGAGGCAGCCGATTGATGTTTCTCTCTGATTGATGTTTCTATCTTTCCCTCTTTTTTCCTCTGTCAAATCAGTAACAAAATTTTTTTTTTAAAAAAGGCCTCTCTGCTAATAAAAGTTTGAAAACTAGCACTCAAGTATTAAACATAGGAGCAAAAAGCCCTGGCTGGTGTGGTTCAGTGGTTAAGAGTGTGGGACTGTGCTCATAAGGGTCTTGGTTTGATTCCTGGTCAAGGGCATCTACCAGGGTTGCAGGTTCAAATCCCCTGCCTTAATCCTCTGGCCCAGTCAGGGCACGGTGTGGGAGGCAACCAATTGATGTGTCTCTCTCCCATTCATGTTTCTTTCTCTCTCCCTCCCTACCATTTTCTTTAAAACAAATAAAAATAAGAGTAAAAGGAGAAGATTGATTTTAATTTTCACAGTTAAATGTCAAATGGCCAAACACTTACTGAGGCATAAACCTAGGCCAAACACTGAGGCATAAACCTACCTGTGCCATGTACTGCTGCTGCAATTATGAATACTTAATCCTACAATTTAGTACGTGTTACTTTTTTGGGGGTTAATATTCATGCTAGGATATTTCTCCATTGATTTTTTGAGTAGAAGGGAGGGGGAGACAGAGAGAAACATTGATGTGAGAGAGAGACGTCCATTGGTTGCCTCTCACACGTGCCCCGACTGGGGCCGGGGATAGAGCTTGAAACCAATGTACCTGCTCTAGACCAGAATCGAACCCATGAACCTTCAGTCCGAGGGCCAACGCTCTATCAACCGAGCCAAACCAGTCAGGGCATGTGTTACTTTTTAGTAAAAGGTGAAAGATTTATACAATCTGAAGAGAAACCAGAGTACATGTATTACGTTTTAAAGGCTTATCTCTGAATGTCACGTAAGGTATAGTGCCTTGGGCAAACAACGGGATTCATTGAGTAATACTCTGTTGACATTTTAAATTCTCTTGATTTGAACATCATTATTTTGAAAGCTTTAGCACTTTCCTCACTGTCAAAAAAAGGTGTCTCCTAAAGTAGCATGGAGCCCTGGACGGTGATGCCAATGGTTAGAAGGATCTCAGATTCAATTCCCGGTCAAGGGCACGTGCCTGGGCTGTAGGTTTGATCCCTAGACCCAACAGATCGATGTCTCACTCACATTGCTGTTTCTCTCTCTCCCTCTCCCCCTCCTTTCCATTTTCTCTAAAAATCAATGGAAAAAATATCCTCAGGTGAGGATTAACAAACAAAAAAAGTAGCATGGACTTTTTGCTAAGATTAAATGTCATCATTTTTAACTTAACCTCAAGCTGGAGGAGTTTTTGGGTGTGTATCTTGTATACTTGATTGGAAAACATAAAGACCAGTGAAATTCAGGAAGTAGCATAGAATGGAAGGGGACAGAAGAAAATTTAGAAAAGAAGAAAAGACTAATTAGAATTTAGAGAATGTTTAACATTTAAAGCTTTATTCTAAAGGGAACTGAAGTGTGAATTCCCGACTTTTAAAGTATTTTTCTTTCTAGTATATTAGAATAATTGAAAAGATAGTAACTTTTGGTTTTTAAAAAAATATTTTTATTGATTTCAGAGAGGAAGGGAGAGGGAGAGAGAGACAGAAACATCAATGAGAATCATTGATCAGCTTTCCCCCCTTGCATATCCTCCACTGGGGATTGAGCCTGCAACCTTGGCATGTGCCCCGGGAACAGAACTGTTCACAGGTCGATGCGCAATCACTGAGCCATGTAGGATGGGTTGAAAATACAGTAAGTATTTGACAGACGCACTGAAGTACTAAAATCAAGCCTGGCTGTCCCTTCAACTTTACAAAGATTTTTTTGTGTTTGTCTTAAAATTTAAGATATTAACATTAAGTACAGACTATCAGGACTACATTAAACACTGAGCCTTTGAAAACAAAGGAGAGCAACTGGGCAGACTTACGTCAAATGGCTGGTGCATCCCCTTGGCAACAGCTTGGTACAGAGAGCTGGTGGCGTTGCTGCCCCGCTTGACGTGTGGTCCGGCGCCGAGGACGTGCTGGAGAACACTAAATGCATTTGCTTCTGCACTTCCTGTGGCAGCACTCTCTGCTACAAAGGCAGCATGAACAAGACTGTCTCCATTCTGCTCTCGAATTTCACCTGAGAAATGTCAGGAGAGGGTGAAAAAGAAAGTGGCTTGGTCACCACTGGTTTTATTCTTCAGTATTCTGTGCCCAACATTATGAACCCACTAAGATGCAGCTTTTCTGAGGCCCACTGCTTTTTCCCTGCCCTTCTGCCCTTCCCCCAACACACAAAAAACATGTTTAATAGACAACACCCAAGCCATCTAATTCTTTCCTTCCACATTAGGACTGTGTGGTAGTAAATAATCAGGCCTATTCCACTCTGACATAATACTGGGGGTGGAGGGATTCCTTCTGAAATATAGACCCTAACCGAACAAACACTCACCTCCACGGTATCTGGCTTTTGCACCTGATAAACCAAGCCCACCCCTCATGTTCAGAAACCGTTCAGCAACTTGCTTCAGAACAGCATGACTCACACCTATTTCACCAGAAAAAAACAGAAGCTAGAACCAGAATTTCTAAAACACAATTGTAAAATATCTATTATTTTAAAAATGATTACACAATTCAAATATTACAGAAATAAACAGTAAACAAGAGTCCCCTCCCCCCAAATGCCATTCTCTCAGATACCCATTTACAGTTTACTACATATTAATCTACAACTTTTTCTAGGCATATATTAGTATCAGCTTCATTTTCTTCATTTACAAAATGATTATTATATTGATATTTAACTTGTCTTTTGTAATTTACAACTGAGTGGTCTACATCAAACCTTTAATGGTTATAAAGAATTCTATTATATGAATCATTTACTTAATCAACCCCTTCTTTATGGACATTCACGTTTCCAATAGTTGGCTATTAATACAATATTCACTGTGTATCAAAGGACACTTTTGAGAGAGTAAAAAGACAATCCACAGAATGGGAAAAAATTTGCAAATAATGTATCTGGTAAGGAATTAGTATCCACAATATACAAGTAAGTTTTACAACTCAAAAATAAAAAAACATACAGCCCACCCAGTGTGCCGCAGTGGTTGAGTGTTGACGCATGATCCAAGAGGTCACTGGTTAGCCCATCCAGCATGGCTCAGTGGTTTCATTACTAGTTAGGGCACATGCCTGGGTTGCGGGCTCAATACCCAGTGTGGGGTGTAGAGGAGGCAGTCAATCAATGATTCTCTCTCATCATTGATGTTTCTCTCTCTCTATCCCTCTCCCTCTAAAAATCAATAAAAACATATTTAAAAAACAAACACTCAACTCAAAAATAAAAACAAAACAAAATCCCTAATACAAAAATGGACAAAGGACTTGAATAGACATTTCTTCAAAGAAGATATACAAATGCCCAATAAACACAAAATAAGATGCTCCATGTCATTAGTCACCAGTGAACTACAAATCAAAACTACAATGAGATTTCACATCCACTTGGATGGCCATAATCAAAAGGCAGAAAATAACAAGTGCTGGTGAGAATATGGAGAAATTGGAACCCTTGTGCACTGTTGGTGGGAATGTAAAATAGCTCAATTGCTTTGGAAAACAGTCTGGTAGTTCTTCAAACGGTTACACAGTCACCATGTCCTGGCAATTCTTCTCCTAGGCATACTAGTAAACCCAAAAGAATTAAAAACAAGGTGTTCTAGCCCGGCTGGTGTGGCTCAATGGTTGAGCGTCAACCTATGAAACAGGAGGCTGTGGTTCAATTCCCAGTCAGGGCACATGTCCAGGTTGCAGTCTTGGTCCCCAGTAGGAGGCATGCTGATTGATGGTTCTCTCTCATCACTATTTCTCTCTCTCCCTCTCTCTTCCTCTCTGAAATCAACAAAAATATATTGAAAAAAATAAAAACAAAGTATTCAAATCTAGCAAAAACCTTATACACAGATGTTTATATTCACAATAGCCAAAAGGTAGAAGCAACACATATATCCAACTGATGAACTGATAAATAAAACATGGTGATGGAATATTTTTCAGCCAGAAAAGGGAACACTGGTACATGCTATAATATGAATGAACTTTGTAAACACTATGCTAAGTGAAAGATGCCAGTTACAAAAGGCTATGTAAAATATGATTCCATTTATGTGAAGAGTCCAGAATAGTTAACTCTGTATGGACAGAAAGATTAGTAGTTGCCAGAGAGGCAGGGAGGAGGTGGAATGAAGAGTCACTGCTAATGAGTCAGGGGTTTCTCTTCGGGAATGATGAAAATAATCTGAAATAACAGTGTTATCAGTTGCACAACTCTGACTATACTTTAAAAAATGAGTGAATTTTATGGCATGTGAATTATACCTCAATTAAGCTATAATTTACAAAACAAATGAACCAAAAAACAATATTGCAAATAATCTCATGCAACTATTGTGTAAACTTGATCAAGTGTCACTGGTTAAATTCTTAAAAGTAAAAACTGCTAGGTCTAAGAACATAAACATTTAGAATTTTAATATACTAAGATAGGCCTCCAAAAATGTTCTATCATTTTATACTCACACCAACAACTTTTAAGAGTGCCTACTATTTCCCTATTCTGGGTAATATTGGGCAGGGTCAACCTTTTAATTTTTGCCAATCTCACAGATAAAACTTTTCTTAATTATTAGTGAGGCTGACCATCTTTTACAATGACAAATGACCCCCACCCCACATACACTTTCCCCATGAGTTGTTTGTTATGCCCTTTGTCTATTTTTCTATTAAACTGTACTTCCTAAAAAAAAAAGAAAAGAAAAAAAGAAACTTGTATAAAGTTCTCTGCCTAGAGAAACTTGCCCTTTGTCAAAGGTTTCGTAAACACTGTAATGAATTTAAAACTAGTAGTTTATAAAGTTAAATCCTGGATTCTGCTTTCCAAGAAAACACACTAGCAATTAAAATCTCATTACATACTGCCTGTGAGACAGAAACAGGACTGAGCTGTCAAATGTTGTTCAATCCCGTGTTCACCTAATTATAGTTTAAAAGATTACTCCTTAAAGAAGCAAACTGACTGTAGGCAATTCCCAACTTACCAAGTCCAACCAAAGCCATTCTTGCACTTGTAAAATGGTTCTGAACATAGTGATGTAACTGAGGAAGTTAAAAACACTTATTAGATTATATTGGTATAAATATATACAAAGCTGTAAAAACTTAAAACTGCAGTTCAGTAGGAAAATGCTCACTTCAAAGCTGTATAACAAATGATAAGGGACCACCTGGATTTCCTTTAAAAATTACTCAATAAAACAGGAGTGGGGAACTGGAGTCCAGCCCATGGGCCGGATAAGGCCTTCAAAATAATCTGTTCTGGCCCTGCCAAGGTATTAGGGGTGAGTTAATTAAATGTTTGACCAAATATAGCAGGCTAATTTTTAAGGTGACAATTTTGTAGGGCCTGCAAATGAATATAATATATCCAAATGGCCCTTGGCAAAAAAAAAGATTCCCCACCCCTGGCTTAAAACACTAGAACTTAATGTGTTGATGGTTACATTACTATGAATATAATGAAAATTACTGAATTGTAGACTTTAAGTAGGTGAACTGTAGGGTATGTGAATTACACCTCAATAAAGATGTTGCTGGGGGGGAAAAACACTAAAAAAGAGAATAAAAAATTAGAGCACACCCTGGTTTGAACTTGAAAAAAATGGGACCTAGTTTATGATTTTTAAGATAATGTGATTTAATCAGCATGTGAGGTTTCTTTTGTCTTTATGCAGGTAGTACTAAACCACTACCAACATTCTACAGAGGCCTAACAGAATTACCCTACTGTACCTCTTTTACCCATCTTGTCATGAGGTTACTGTCTATACCAGGGTTTCCAACCTGGATGATGAATAATTATCTGGGGGACTTAAAAAACAAAAACACTATCACTGTTTCCCCACCCCTACCCATTCCCAGGCTCAGACACAAACTGATATACAGTAGAACTCAACGTGGAATCCTAGAATCTTTATTTAAAACTACCCTCCCCACCCCCACAACTCGGTGACCTGAGAATTAGTGAGATTTGAGAATCACTGGTTTACAGTATAATTTTAGACCTAATATACAAAAGTCAGACTTAAACATGTATTCTCAACAGGAGCACTATGGCTCAAGGGAATGAAAATTGCTTCTTAAGGGTGAGAAAAGAATCTTATTCCTTTTATATACAGAGTACAAATAAAGATACAGAACATAAACAGATAGTGTATCTGTGGTATTAAAAATTTATTGTGGGGGTACAGAAGAAATTGCCTACCCAGGTTCCTTGGCAATGGGTTATAATGTTGAGAATCACTAGGCTAGGGTAGTGAGACTGAATTTTTAATCAAGTCATCAAATTTTTGTGCTCTAAAATGAATGGTGTCTATAAATACAGAGTCGCCTTGGATATCCATATTCTTTTTTTTTTTTTCCCTATTGAGGTTTTTCTATTGAATGCTGCCATTGCTCAAAGTATTCAAGCACTAATTTCTTTAGAATTTCCTTTAGCCTAGGGACACATTTTAAAAATGCTAATGATTTGAGATATCTTGGCTAACATTTTGGGATTTATCTATGAGATACACACTTTGTCACTTTTTTTAAGTCATAGTATAGTTGACGCAACACACATCTTGTTTTTTAAAAAATGGGACGCTTTGGTATATCCTGCTCATGAATTGCCTTTAGTTCAACTGACAATACACTATGGAATTTTCACATATCTAATCTAATCTAATAAAAGAGAAACATGCAAACTGACTGCACCTCCGCTATTCCCCAAGCCACGCCCACCAGCCAATCAGAGCGACTATATGCAAATTAACCCAGCCAAGATGGCGATT